TAATGTAGGATGCACTACAAGCTGTGACAATCCAACTTCTTCTTTCTGTCCTATCACGGCCACGATCGTGAGTTTGAAGTTGAAGGTACCATGATCTCGGAGTTGCTGTACCACTGATGCAAATGTTCGCCCACACCAATTACCATATCGACACAATCTGCATGGGAAAACTCCACCATAAACCGATTTCACCGACCGCTCGATGCTAACTCGCCCTTTCCGTGTTTTTCACGTTGCGATTAAAAAAGTGCCTGATAAAATCACTTTTTTGGTTCTTAATCCGACTCGCTCTATTCCATTCATTGTAGTAATTATGTAGGTCACAAAACAGTCCAGCGGCGCGTACAACAATTTACATTTAATTTCAAATAATTTTTTCTAGACACTGGTACTACATAGGACCGTGAATTTTACCCAGTGACATAATCATATTGTGACCTATTCCCCATTTTTTTTTGCATGTATTTCGCAATCACCTTGTATAACGAGAACAGAAGCAGAAATGAAGAAAATGACAAAAAATCTAATCAGAGAAGCGAAACGAACGGGTTTAGCGATCAACCAAGAGAAAACGAAGTTTATGAAGATGGAAACAAAACAAACCCCAGCAAAACCACTGAAAGTAACTACAGAAGAAGGAACAACATACGAATTCGAAGAAGTAAATAGGTTCAAATATCTAGGAGTAGTAATTACAAACAAAAACGAAATGAACGAAGAGATAGAAGAACGGATCGCGAAAGCAAACAAGAGTGTAGGAAGATTAAGCAGATTTCTGAGGAGTAAGAATGTAACACGACGAACAAAGAAACAAGTATATAAGACAATAGTAAGACCTACAGTCCTGTACGCTAGTGAAACATGGACGCTAACGAACGAAAAGGAACAGAAGTTGGAAGTATGAGAACGCAAGATACTACGAAAGATATATGGAGGTATAAAAGAACTAGAACAATGGAGAAGGAGAACAAACCGAGAGATCGAGGAAATATACGGAGAACCAACAATCACGAAGATAATCAGAGCACAGAGACTGAGATGGCTAGGCCACGTCGGAAGAGCACCAGAGGAACGGACAATCGGGAAAGTATTAGACCGCCTAAAAGGAGGAAAGAAAAAGAGAGGAAGGCCAAAACTGAAATGGATAGACGATGTTCGAAAAGATCTTCAAAACTTAGGCATTGAAGATTGGAGATCCAAAGCAGCCGACAGGAACAAATGGAAAATTATTGTAAAAAAAGCCCAGGGCCTTTAAGGCCTGCAGAGCTGAATTATATATATAATCAAGAATTACAAAACTGATACTTTGAAATCTTGCAGACGTTTTAAGGTCATTGTAAGCATGGTAAATTGTTAATCAAAATAAATCTGTTTATTTCTCCCAAAAAATTGTTATTTCAAAATTTTTCCGAATAAATTCTACACAAAATGTGCAAAATATTGTAATTCATCATAGCATTCATATTTTTTATTGATCAAATTAAGAACGAGTGACTTTCCCGAAAATGTGAAAATACAAACATCTTTATTTAATAGGAATTATAATAATGATATTCAGAACATTTTGTCGATTGTAGCTTACTAGTTAATTGTTTTGATTCTGTTTTGAGGGGACGAACTCATTAAATTCAAACTAATTTCTACGTTACATTCTTCCGATGTATAAACATAAACACTTGTTTTTCTTATCGAGGATAACCTAAAGACGTACAGTAATGGAATCCATTGGGCAAGTTGTCGCTTTCAAATTTTCTCGATATTTCATAACTCCTAGACAAGGCCGTAGCTAGGGGGAGGCTAGGGGGTGCTCCCCTAGATCTAGACAAATTATAATTAACCAAATGTGAATTACAGCATCCAAAAACCGAAAAAATGTAGTGTTTCATTCAATAAACGGAAGTCAGAGCAATAAAAAAGTCTGGACCATCGGCATTGTCATCCAGTTATTCCAATCCTTAGAAAACATGTTTTAGTTTAGTTTGTGTTTCACCGTCACGTCTACAGATTAATAAGGGTTGTGGGTATTTGTCTTAAACTACAGGATGTTCCTTTTATCTGTTTACGCCTGACAATTTTTGCATAGGCAACATATTATACACCCCAGAGACGACTTCGTCCAATTTAATTTTTTTTTAATAAGTAGTCATAGCAATCACAAAAAAATGACAAAGATGTCAATGCCAAACAATGACAAAATTGAAAAAATTAATGCTCAATTTATTTTAAAATGCCCCGCTACAAAAATGTCATCACGATTCCGACAGCGAGGGTTGTACTGTCTAAACTTTTTAGACCAATTTTTTTCATTTTATCACAGAATTTCTTAGTTTTTATTTTTTTTTATTTTTATTATTGTATCCTACTTAAATTAATCTTATTATTAAGTTAAACCTACATACAGCGTGTTATTGAAAGCTACGTACAAAATAAAATCCACAATTGGTCTCGAGGTGTGGGTGCCAAAAGTTAAAAAAAGTTCAGGTAAAAGTGTTCTCCTTTTAGAGATAAAAATTATGACAATTTATGTCCAAATTTGTTGTACGCCTCTGATAAAAAGATCATCTCTCGTTTCTATGGCAACATTTAGTCTTGACAAAAGTTTTATTGTTACAGTTGCTAGGATTCAGTAAAATAATTTAATTTTACCTATTTATCCTTAAGTAGCGTCTAAAAAGGTTGGAAAAGGGTTAATTTTCCCCTTATTATTTTGATAACACAAAATAAGATTTTCAGACTTCTTAGGCTTCGCGAAGAACTGTCAATTTTGTTGTACGTACCTTTCAATAACACTCTGTATATATGAGTTTTAGTTATTTCCTGTAATTGGGTCAATATCACCTGTTGGAAAATAAGCCGACTATTATTAAAAAAAAAACGAATTCTAGTTCCTCTCTTTTTTTTCAAAAATATTCTGAAGCATTTCTTGATTTATGTCAACGCAGTATTTCGTAGTAAAATCATTACTGGTTAATTGCTATCAAACAATTGTAATATCGTGTACGTTTCTCACACTCGCTAGAAGAATTTTTATGGTGTACGGTTCTGCACATGTTGTTTGCAATGTCTGACAAGCGCAATGATATTTGCAATTTGCGAATATGCGAATTTTGTTCCTGCGTTCCTGGATTGGTGGTTGAGTTTGTTTATCTATTTGAATCGTACTATATGCATATTAGGTGTGTTAATTAAAAAATTTAGATTTTTGCAAATTTTCGAGTTATGTTTTGGGGATTTGTTATTCGTCTTTTTTGTTACAATTTTCTCGTGAACGAATTTAGTGATGGCTCGTCACAAAAAGAAACAGAACATGTAACATGAAAATGTTACCACGATTTAAATAGCGCGCGCCTTTACAGAGTATGGGGGTAGGAGCTGGAAGGTTCGAGAAGAGCGTGGTTTTCGGGGTTTTGGAGACGGCGACGAGAGAAGGTCGAGAGAAAAAGACACGGAAGTTTTGGGGTGCCGTTGTTCACGAAAAAGGGGTGAAAAGTTAGTGTCAAGGAGAGGTGTCATCCTGTCATCCTGGTAAGTCTGTCGAACCGCCGACCTGGAGGTGAATTAACCGCGTTCATGGACTGCTAAACGCCACAGCCAACCGAACTCCTGCCCACCACATTTTTTTTTATTTCGAATCAGAGTTTTTTTTTATGTAATTAGTGGATTTAATTTATTTTGTACAAATAAAAAGAGCATTGGTGAAGTTGGGTGGTCTCAGTCCCCCCAACCCTCCTTTCCACCACAACGACTGAGTGGCGCCCTACTATTTTTGGTTAGTTAGAGTTTAGCAACGAAGTTGAATCCAAGGTAAGTGCAAACACCACGAGAAGAACCCGCTCTCCGAAAGCAGCACCGGCGTAAAAAGAAGATAAGAGGTTATAAACAAATCCTCCGAATGTAAGCACAAAATTCGCAAAATTGGTAAATCTCAATTACCCAACACGCATATCCAATTTTGCATATAGTGCCATCCAAACGGAAATCGCAAGCGATCATTAATTTTCAAAGGTAAGAACAAAAATTCGCAAAAAAAGTTGAAAAATTGTCCTGACCCGAACCCGCGGAAATCAATCTGTTTTAGTCGTAAGAAAATTCAGTCAACTTCTGGGATGCTACCGATCGTGCTGTTGCTATGAATCCCGAAATCTTCCAACTTGAATTGCTGCCCGAATTTCTGTTGAATTTTGAGCAAAGCTGGACTTGGAAAGTTTGTTGAAACTGGAAGAAGGCTGGACTTAGAAGACTCAGACCATGTTGTGGTAATATTTTGTCAACTTCTAGCCCAGCTGAAAGGCTTCTGCTATTTACCTCCGCGTTTCTTTGACCGTCTAGTGACCGCTTTGTAGTTTTCGATAGTTTATTATTAAAAATAAGTTGCACGTATAATTGTTAAATTTTAGAAGATATCGTACATAATTAGGTTCCATTTTTGATAATATCGCAATAATTGAATCAACTATACAATTAGTTTTTATTAGTTTTCGTAGGTAAATAAGTAAATAAAAGCGAGTTGCACAGCGTACTTATGCATGTTTTAGTCATGTAGGTTTATTCCTATATTTTGTATGATTCTTTTGCCTGGCATATAAACTTCCACTTGAAAACAGCAAGGTAAATAACACGTGCTGACGAATTTGTTTAAATTTGACAACTTTTCAGATGGAAAAATCGATGCGATGTCATTTTGTTTAAACAATTGTCCTTTTATAAAATTACAAACTAAATTTGATGTAGAAATACCACGTGTTCATACTTACAACATCAAAACAAACTATTAACATAAAGAGTTTTCTTCTGCCTCTTCTTCGTTATCGCTAAAATATAGGTGGTTGCCTACATTATTGAAATCATTTTAATTTTATTTAATTTTTCTTTTAAATGCAGTTTTTCTATTCAGCGCGAAATTTAATTTTCTAATCAGGACACCACAAACAAAAAGCAATATAATATAATTAGGTAATACAATTTTGTTATTATCATAATATTTTTAATACTACCACCTTATTATACAGTATTGTCTGTAGTATTTTCTTCGCGATTAACTTTCATAAGATGCCTTTTACTTTCTTTCTCATGAAGTTCGTCGTATTTTCTGTGTTCTTCTTTTAAAAAAAACTTCCGACAAACGGGACTAATGAGATTTGGATCAGTAGACTTCTGTTTCTTTTTTGTCATACAACTTATTAATACTCCTATAAGTACTGCAAGCATAGTTCCTAAAAATGTATAATACTGAAATGATAGTTTCAGAAAGAATGGAGCTTGTTGGTGAGCAGAACTGCAAAAGTGAATACATTAAATTTAGATTGAAAAACAACACTATTATTTTACGCGGTAGTTGTGGAGTTAAACAGATGAGACTGTAAAGCATTCACAGAACTGTTATCAAACAAATTTGCACAACCTTCGACAGAGACAGGTCTAGTTGGATGAATTAACACCTTTCTAAGTTCATAGTATTTCGTTGCCATCATTAACTCTGTCACAGAAATAAGGCTAATCAATCCACCATAGAAAGCACCCTAGTAACAAAAAGAAAAAATATAACGCTACCAATCATTTTGAAAACGAACATCTGCATTAGTTCTAGGGAAAAGCATTCCTAGTGTAAACATTCCAAGAAGTGGACCGTTAATAGGAGCCCTGAGTGCAATATTTAAAGCAAGTAGTGGTCCCAAATGTTCAATAACGAACACTAAACAAGTACATGCAACCCCACAGAGGATAACAATCAGTTTCAAAATGTTACTCTCTTTTAACTCGGAATATTCCTTCTTCAAACGTTTTTTTACTAAATCGTTGTAGATGATTCCAGCCATCGAATTTAAAAGCGACGACATCGAACTAAAAATAGTGAAATTAGTTGATGTTGTAAATCAATGATTGTTACCTTAAAGCAGCACTGAAAACTGAACCCACAAAAAGACCTGAAACTCCAGGTATATGTCCTGCCACTTGCGTGAGAAAATAGGGCAATAATTGATCATGTTTTCTTATTTTTTTACTGGTTAGAGGATCGCAGTCTGCATATTTGGCGTACACTTCTAGACCAATTAAAACGCACAAAATGGTGACTACACATTTACAAACTGCGCTGTATATGACTGACCTAAATGATGTAAATTAGATACAACCACATCGTGAGAAAAACGTACCAAATGCAGTGACGAAATTTAGGAACAGATAAGTACTTCTGAACTCCAGTTTGATGTATCACAATTGTAGATACCATGGTTGCAGTGTATCCTACACTAACAGCCCAAAATGAATCTTGCCGTGTTAGATCGACACTAAAACTACAAAATAAAATTATTAGGATATGTTCTAAACTTTGTTTTAACATAGGTACTCGACAATATTAAATCTTTCGCCACTTAAAGCAGTTTCCCAAATCGACATAACGCCACCTGACTTTTCCAAACCCAGATAGCAGTTGATAATTACGGATATCATGATGACCATAAACTGGAAACAATCGGTCCAAACCACCGTCTTTAGTCCTCCAATTGTGGTATAGAAGATACACAAAGCACAAACTATGAAAGCTGTTAAATTAACACTGAGTCCACTCACTAAAAGTGAATTTGTAGTTAAGTGAGACAGTAGTTATTTTACCTACTGGCTGAAAATGCTAACGCTGGAATATATGCTAGCAAAGGAAAATATATAATTTCTGAAAAGAGGTACAAATACACCGCTAACTGTTTTGTGCGGTTGTCAAATCTCTTTGCTAGATATTCGTAACTACTGGTAAGCTGTAATTTAAAGAACACTGGTAAGTAAACATAGACTGAAAGAAGTCCGACTAAAACAGTGGACACGATGATATAGAGGAAATAGGCTCCGAATCGGTATACGTCTGCTGGAACGGCCATCATGGTCACTCCTGAAAAGTGACTGAAAATTAATCGAATGTAATTATTTGTGAAACAGGATTTGTAGTACGTAGAGTACCTCACGGCTACAGAAACTCCAACAGCAACAACACCCATTTTTTTACCACCATGTAGATATTCATTGGTAGACGCTTGCTTAGTTCCAAAACAACCGAAATAGATTCCAATAGCGACGCTTATCAATAACACAGCCAAAAGGATTAAGTAGTCGTAAGATGTTAACATTTTTGCCAACTCTTTTGAAACTTCAACGTCGAGCGCTTATCTAGGCATAAGCTTAAATGAAAAGTGTGTTAACCTATATTGTTGTTATTCTTCACACTTGCATATATCGCGGACGTTCTTATCTTTTAACACCATTGACACTTCTACGAAATACTGGTATGCGTAATGTTGTGTACTCTTAATTATTGTTGTTTACAGTAATAAAGCTTTTGTCAACATGATATCAATCGTTAACTTATTTTACTATTTACGTATAAAAATGTGTCGTTCCAATTAATCACGAAAACTTGAAAAATGACTTACACTACTCTGACTTACTGGTGCTAACGTATTCTGGCTGGCAAGAGAAAATTTCAAACAATGTCACATGTTTTTAACAAAACATCTTTTTGAATTTTGACAATTATGGAATCATTTAAATGTATTAATGGAGATATCTATATTGAACATTTACCACAGTACCCAGCAACCACAAATACGAAGGAGCGAGTAGAAGAGAGAAAAAATAAATAAGCGAAAAAGTGCCGGAAAGAGCGAGAAACAATAGAACTTATGATGCAAGAGTGTGATGAACTAAAGAAAGAGAGGAAAGTTGAGATTGTGTATGAACAGTATTTACTAATTCGTGAAAATCCAAATATCCTGCCAGAAATTGGCATGTGAACAAATTTTTTAAAACCCGCGAAAATTAAAAATTTCGTCTTGAACTGCGATCATCTGCAAAATGGAACCCTTTACTATGAACTGTGAATTAATTTTTTTGATGTCACATCGTCAAAAAAACCACACATTGCCTATTATAAAAACCTTACTACCTAATTAAATGCGCTCGTGGGGAGCATTGAAACTACAAAATAAGTTTAAGGTATTCTTAGTATTCACTTTTTGTTTACACAAGCCCTTCACCAACTTACTACCCACAAATTCCCCAGACGAGCTACCAAACAAGTTGCACATGAATTTAAAGTTGGCAGTCACGACATCCACATGACGTCACACAAACTGCGCAATACCATATGATGTCTTCTTGTACCATTGTCCGGTCGTTCTTTTTTTTTTGTTTACGTCGTGGTACACTAAATACGAATCCACAACTGACAAATGTAATTTTGACAAAAAAAATATTTAGTTTTTATTTGTTAAGACATTATTTGGGGGGGGGGGGTCACTGACAAATTGGCCTCATGGATGAGCCACTACTGCGGGAATACCATGGGAATACTTGCTGGACAGTGGGACCCTAACTAATTTTTTAATCATTTAGTATCTGCAACCAGTAATACAAGCACGTACTAAGCTAATAAACTATTATTCAGTGCATGATGCGCTCACATAGAAATTTGGTTTGTGTAAAAGGATTGGTTAATTTATTTAACTCTTGTTAATAACAACTGTTGACTTTAAAATCATTATGTCGGAGACGGTAAGATTAACTTTTCTTTAAACATTTTTTTTTACTGCAATATTATTTTTTTGCACTTGGGATATCTAATAAACACCAACGAAAAACTCATATTTGGAAGTATGACAGTTTTCTAACAGAAGACTGACCTTTGGTATCTATCAGATTTCAGTGGCCCATTTAGTCGTCGTGCAGTGAATAGTAAATAAAAGATTTTAACAGTACGTTATAAGTTATAAGTGCAGTTTTCCAAAAAAAAAAACCGTGACAAGCAACGTCAAAAATGTCAGCACAGCAGTATGTAACAGTATGTCATCGTAATCACTGACGTGTTTAACGCGTAATAATAATGTCTTTTACTTACGGCTTGAAGTTTAACTATAATTTTCCTTTTTATCAAAATACTTATACGATATTAGGCTGATAAATAACTTATTGTCAAGGTGCTGGTAAATTACTATATATTGGTGAAATAATTCACTCTAAACTGCTACTTGTATTCTTGTAACATCATACATATTATTTTAACTCTCAAATTTTGTTTAACTCGTACTTCTGTTTTTATTAGATAGAAGTTGCTTTTCAAACCCTTTGAGTTCCAAACAGAGTCGATCAGATGAGAGGGAAACAGTAAGCTTTGTTAATTATATTTCCAGAATCTATCAATTAAATAAATGTGTCATCGCTGTTTCACACATTTCTACTATGGATTAGAGTCGTTGATTGTTGTATAACCGACATTTTAAATTGAAATTTATAAATAAGTATAATACAAATCAAATCTGCAAGTTGTTATTTTTCCTTTTCTCTGAAATTCAATAAGTAACCGATGCATGTTAAGGCGTATTGCAGAAAAACTACATTTAATAATAATTGTTTGAGATGATGTCAGAACTTTTTGGTGGGGATAAATACACTTATTACTTCCTGTAGCTATCAATGAAACTATAAAAGTAGTAAAATAGTGATGACCTTAACTGAAAAAAAAGTTTATCATGGAAGAAGAGAAACAATTTTAGCAGAAATCTCTCCAGAAACTGTCAGTCACCATTCATCTTGCAAAAAACGACCGTGACCGTATTTTTATACACTTCCATTCATTAAGTACCAAACGTCAATCATGACATTTAACCAAACATTTTTATTTTTTTTTTTATAACCTCGAAAATCTACCGATTAAGTAATCCGTGTTATGATTATCATGAAAGTTTAAAATTGCGTCGTTTAGGTAAGCTAAATCAGTAAAATTCTACAACGCATTGAACAATTTATTCTTTTAGTGTAACAAATAAAACACCGATCCTTGAGTATACACCATGGTGATCCAAATCCAACCACCCCCGAATAACTTCCGCCACGTAAATATTTACCCGACACAAGATGAAATATTGGGTGCTCGCAATTTTTTTCGAAAAAACATAATCGAAGGCAGTTTTGAAAGCGTCGAGCAATACTTGGATATTCAGTTCAGACTGTTACGAGAGGATTTTGTGGCTAATGTAAGGGAAGCTATCGACAACTATCAGGCAGGTGAGGCCACGAAGAGCATAGAAATTTACGAGAACGTAAGAATATTCAGAGACAGAAATAAATACAATGAAGAGTGCCTTAAAATCGCGGCTGCTTGTCAGAGTGACGACAAGAAATTTATGAATGGCTCACTTTTACTTTTTACCAAAAATAGTTTTAATGATTTGTTTCTGGCAAAGGTCGTGCAAAGAAACACTGACAACGAGGAAGTAGTGATTGATTTAATCGATGTAAATAATTATAATATTAATCTGAATCAAAGATATACAATGGCGGAATGTAGTCAATACTTTGACCCGTACTTTCAAGTTTTAAATGCTCTCCAAAACATCTCCATACACAATTTTCCTTTGGAAAAGTACATTGTTCACGTAGACGCCAGTTCGATATATATGCCTACGTACCTGCTCTATTCAGGCTCTAATTTCGAGATTGACGGTTTACGCATCCCCCCGGAATCGCTTCCCAGGATCACCCACAACTTGTTGAATTTAAATAGCGCACAGTTTGAGGCATATAAAGCCGCTTTGACGCAAGAATTCGTTGTCATACAAGGCCCTCCAGGCACCGGCAAAACCCACTTAGGGGTCAAAATCGCCCAAACTCTCATTGAGAATTCACACTTTTGGTACAGAAAGACGCCACTGTTGGTGATTTCTCATAAAAACGACGCCCTCGATCAGTTTCTGGAGGGGTTAATACCAATCACGGACAGGTTGACGCGGGTGGGGAGCCAATCAAAAAGCGAGAAATTGAGGGAGTTCAACTTAAACCAAGAGAAAAATAAAGACGGGTATACTTTTAAAAGACGCCCTAAAGAAGAGTATTTGAAGGTTATGCAAAATTCCTTGGTTGTTGGTATGACGACCAGTATAGCCGCTCGCTGGAAAGATTATTTAGATAAGCTGAAGTGTCCAATTGTGATAGTTGAAGAGGCTGCTGAGGTCTTGGAGGCTCATGTTGTTGCGGCTCTTACTAATAGTTGTCAACATTTGATACTGATGGGGGATCATCAGCAGCTGCAGCCTATTTCCGCTGATTACAACATTGGGAAGAATTATCACCTTGGGATAAGTTTATTCGAGCGGATGGTTAGGAATAAGGTACCTAATTGCTTTAGAGCATCTACATTCTTTGAATAACAATAACAGTACTTCATTTGCAAACTTTCAGGATAAATTTTAATTAACGATGTGTCATGCCTACTGTAACCTTAAAATATTTCCGAGATTTTAAAGTATTGGGTTTTATTTACGCTTTCAAAGTTCAATTGTGAAATGTTATAATTTTTATTTCATAAAATCTGGATGTCTGGTGAAAAATTAATTCGGATTCATAAACCACAAATACTTAGCGTCAACGCTGATACAGCATTATTTAGTTCCAAGCTAAATGATGCTCTATCCACAGCACGCGCGATTTAACAATACCTCTTCGTTTGACGATAATCAAACATTATTACACCCAGATACAACACTATCAACTGAAAATGCAGCATCGAATGCGCCCCGAAATATCCGGCCTTCTTAAAATGAAAATCTACCCATACCTCGAAGACCACGAATCCGTAAAAGGCCGCCCCGCGATACTAGGCGTCGACAAGAACGTTTTTTTCATCGACCATCAACACCCAGAAGAAACTTGCAACGTCACAACGAAAAAGAATACTTTCGAAGCTCGGTTTCTAGTTTCCTTCGCCAGATACTTAATTTTGAACGGATACACATCCAGTGATATTGTAATTCTGGCAACGTATGCTGGCCAGCTTCAAGAACTAGAAAGTTTGACTCAGAAAGAACAGTTCTTGAAAGATGTCAAAGTTTCCACTCTAGACGGTTTCCAAGGACAAGAAGCCAACATTGTCCTTCTCTCTTTAGTGCGAAGCCAAGGGATTGGTTTTTTGGCGAAGCAGAATAGAGTTTGCGTGGCTTTGTCTAGAGCTAAAAGTGGCTTCTACATCATGGGTAATATGGATTTGCTGTCTCGAACGTCCAAAGTAAGACAATATTTTGAAATTTTGTGACATCACGGTAGAGATTTTAGCTTTGGAATGGCGTGAAGAGGTGTCTAGAACAGCAGAAGGCAATCGGGAAGAAGTTGTCGCTTCGGTGTCAAAACCATAAGGTTGTTACTCAAGTGGAATCGTTGGATGATTTTTGGAGGGTGCAAAATGGCGGTTGTGGCAGAAAATGCGAAACTGGCTTAACGTGTGGTCATATATGCTCTTTGTTGTGTCATAACAAGAATATGAAACACAAATGTGAAAAGGGTTGTCCTGGGTATGTTGATATTTAGTTCAGGGTTTGATAATTTCATTGTGTACTTTAAGGGTTACTGCGGCGAGAGATACAATTACAACGTATCCGAATCTTTGGAGTAGGGTTGGTGACAATTTAGACAATTGGACCTTATCGAATCCAGACGTTGCCAGTACATTGCTTGAGATGATACAGGAGGTACTTCAACGCATTTGGGACAGTTTTCTAAGACGCGTGGCTTTAATTTTTCGTAAATTTTATAGTTGATATTTTATTTTTGTTATGTTAAATAAATATATACAAATGTGACGATGACTTTTGATTTTATTTTGATAAAAGTTGCCCTTTAAAGGAATTAGGTCTGCGTAAAGGTTCACCATGATGGAACCGAAAGTTTGACCTACTTCAGTTGGAGCTTACAAGACTTTTCATTAGATGAAGGAACACTGCTTTGGTCGCAAGGCTGAAGAGAGTATCCTGGAAGAACCTTTCACATCAGAAGTGGTAGATTTACAACCACCTTAGAAGAGTTTGTAGAATTCCGGCTGCAGACAATGTTTCCAGGTAGTAAAAGATTACCTGTCATTTCAAAAGGGACGTGGCCCATCTGAAGGGCTGCGTGCTGCAAAGGTCACAGAAGCAAAACTGGAATCTCCGGGAGTAGACGGGATCTATCCCACCTTCCCGCAGAGGGGAATGAGCAGGTTTTATTAGCTACATATCGAGCACTTGGTGAAAACTTGAAGTTATTTTTATACCAAAACCAAGAAGATAAGGTTAATTCGTTTAGACCAATCAATCAGCTTGTTGCCTTAAATTGACATGTGAGAAAAGAATTGAAGAGCCCGCGAAAAATTCGAAAATTTGGTCTTGGCTGTGATCGTTAAACAAAATGGAATATACGTTGTTTTTTTTTAAATGCCGGAATGCAAGTGGTGGACCCCAATGTTGGAAAAGTACCGCTAAATAAAACACAAAATATATGGAGGACACAAAATCATTTATTCCTCCACTGACAAAAAAAAAAAGAAAAAAAAAAGCTGAAATCAAATTAAACGTTCTGAATCAATGCAAATATTTGATAAATCCCGCCAGCTCTACCAGGAACCGCGCCCTCCGCTTTCTGCCACGTGTTTCTGTGTTATTTACCTCAATTCCATTTAAATGTTCACTTTCTACCACTCTGATGTTGAAGTACAACTGAACAAGTGTTAAAGTTTTAAAAAGAGCAATGAACAACATTTAAATTTGCTATAGACTCTTGTGAAATTTTAAACAGTAAAGAATTTTTATCTGAGATTAAGATTGGACATCAGGCAGTTTATGTGATGGAAATATTAATCAATAAAATATTCACATGGAAAAAAAGACTAGCAAAATTATAGAGCAAAGAAAATTACTGAGAGAAAAAATCACACATGAGGTTAATATTTACCACACTTTATTAACGATTCTAACAAAGAATTTACGTGATATTAAATTATGCACAACTTATCAACGACCCAAACAAAGAATTTACATGACGTTAAATTATGTCACGCTTTATCAACATGCAAACAAAGAATTTACATGAGGCTAAATGATGCCAAACAAAAAAAAACACATGATAAACACAAAATGACCTTCCTCGTTGCGAGAAAATATGTCTCGATGGTGCAATTTCCATCGTCGCGAGAAAATGTCTCGGCGATGCGATGATGATATGCCTAAGGGGAAAATTTTAATCCTCCTGTACCTCAGTCTACGATACTATGAATTCTACTGCACTTTCACGGTTCTTTTCCCAGAGTGGGACAACGTTAGATTGATTTAACTGCCGTAAATGAACTATTAGCAATCTTGTGTAAGGAATTAAGTAGTGTTTTAATGTAAGACAAGTAGAAGCATCCAGAACCCTTATTTATAATTTGATAAAGAAATAATGAGTCTTGACTAAGTGAATTTCATGAAATCTCCTAGCAACTGCTCTATCTAAGCAAACTCCTGAGTATTAAATTGTGTTAGAACCAGTTAACGACTAAAATCCTGACATGAACTGTAAATGTTCAAACAATGAATCAACATTACACCACGTGTAATATAATAAAATTCGCATATTTCCGATCAGAAAACGCTGTTGGGGAAACTGTGACGTCGTGGCTTAATTTCGTTAAACAAAGGCTTCCTCCCTTTTTTTAACTACCAAACCAAGTAAACTTAACCTAACCAGCTTACCGCGTGCTTCCGCTCATGCACACCAAACAATAGTGACGCGCCACCTACCCTCTACCAAACAAGTAAACTTCACTACCAACCCTATCACTAGATACTACCAAGAAATTCCCTAGGAAAGACTAAACTTGCACATGGCCTATGTTTAACGATTTTCTTGATTTGATTTTTTTTATAATTCAAATTATTCAAATGCGATTTCTCGCCGCTGTTCTTTTTCATCAGCGCGAAATTTTAATTCAAATTTGGTCACCACCAAAAAAGAAATTCCTGGGGGCTTTCACTACATCCGAACCAACATGCCTATATCGAAGAAGACCCACGGAAACGGGACTGGGTTGTGGAGAACAAGTGCTCCTCCCTAGGAATGTTCTTGACGAAACGACCTTCAAAAGTGTAGAACTAGCCATAATGTAGACCCTACCCTGAGCAAGTGGGTGACTAGTATGCTACGAAATAGGGAAGCATTGAGTAATGTCGAGTAATGTCATCCAGATTGAGGCTCTTGTGGACAGTACCTTTTCCTGTATTATGGGACACTGTTGTCAATAGTTTGAAAGGACGGCTCAATAATTCTGACTATCACACATTTGGATGCGCAGATGAGCTAGTCATTTTGCTAACGGGGAAAAATGCAGTCACATGGTTGAGAAAGGTGAGAAGACGTAACTAGTCCTGTTCACAAAGAAAAGGAAAATTGACATACTACCGATGACAAAAATGTTTGGTACAAGGCTTCAACTTTCGGCCGTGGCCAAATACCTGGGAGGTTTATTGCACTGGCGGCTAAATTAGAAGAAGCACGTAGATGGGAAAGTGGAAAACGCATGCTCGGTTTTCTGGCAATGTAGGTTGGTTCGAAGGTACTGGGGTTTTAGCCCTATAAGATCGTCCTCTGGATCTACATGGCCATAGTTAGACCGATGTTGTTTAGTCTGGTGGCCTGAAATTTGAACATGTTCAGAGGATGGTGTGTCTCAGTGCTACAGGAGCAATGAAAAGTACTCCCACAGTGGCTCTGGAAACACTTATTTGCTTCGAACATATTAACTTTTATATAGAGCAAGCGGCAATGAGGACGCCTCTGGGACCGAATGGGCACAAACAAAATATATGATATCACTGGCCGCACCGATTTTTGTATGGTCACCAAAAAGTAGACAGTCTTACTTAATTGAATTCCTTGAACACAATGGTGACATTGGAACTTGCGTAACACCCCCAGTTTATGAGGTATAGAAAAATTCAAGATACATATATTTTGGCACTAAGTATTTGCGAATCCAAGGTATGTAGTTCTGGTCGGAGCCATTTCGCAAAGAAGGTATTTCTCGCCTTCATTATTTCTGAAGTTCAGTTATTTTTATTCCTATGGCGTCTTGTCGCAACTATTGTGATATTAATCCAAACTGTTTTTGGCATGTTTGTGCTCATTACAGGTTGAAAATGCAACAGAGAACCTTTACACCTACTATCATTTCCTGTCATGGAGCAGGAAGAATCTTTTGTATCTCATTATATATATGCCCTTCATGTGACTTAGGGTTGAGGCTCTGGTTAAACGGACACCGTAAATCCAAACCCTTTGGCATTTCCATGCTCTGATCTAAATCAAGAAATCATATTATTGATAGCTACTTTTGTTTGACCAATGCTACCGGTTATTCCCCTATAAAAAAGGAACAATTCATTATGCGGACGTATCTTTTTAGTGACATTGTACCTGTACCTGTGTGTCCCTCTTGTGATACTTTGTCCTTTATGACGGAAACAGAGGTTGGGGAAACTCTTGTGGGTGACGATGATACGTATCGAGGTAGTCAATGTCACAGTGCATCGCAGTCGTCACATGCCATTCGTTAAATTTTGTACGCAAACGGAAAATATCACTGTTTGTACCGATGTCCCTGATTTATCTGAGTTAAGTACCTAGTATTCCAACTGCCCATGAATGAATGCTTATTGTTTCCAGGGCATACGACGCGCCATGTACTGAAACACTCGCATCAATAAACTGCGGCCTACGTCCATCCCCGCAAATAAGGTACCTGGGTAAACACCTAGTCCATAACAGAGGAAATCTAGGAGTACGGGTAAACCTTCACGCAAAGTCGACCCGCCATCCCATTTGCGCCCCGCATGACCCCACTCGTTTATTGCGGTTAGACTTTTGGAGATATCAGGTGGAAACACACTATTATAATTGCAAGGGAGCAAAACGAACAAAACTAAATTATGCCACACTCTGTCAACAATTCAAACAAAGAATTTACATGATGTTAAATTATGCCACACTTTATCAATGGTTCAAGTGACTGGTTACTTAAAAAATTAGCTTTGAGAGTTTATATCGTGCACTGTCCCCAGCTTATCCCAAACAAACACATGATAAATAAACAAAAAAATGCAAATCTCGTCGCGGTGATGTAATCTTCCTCGTTGCGAGAATACGTCTCCATGATATCCGGATGATAACTACCTAAGAAAAAAATTCAATCTCCTCGTCCCTCAGTGCACGATATTATGAATTCTTCCACACTTTTCACGGTCCTTTTTCTCAAAGTGGAAGAACGTTAGGTTAATTTAACTGCCGTAAACGAACTATTAGCAATCTTGTGTGCAGAATTAAGAAGTCTTATAATGTAACATTTAAGTAACTGTAAGCACCCAGAAACCATATTTATAACTTGATAAAGAAAAGAATAGGGCCTGAATAAGTGAATTTCATAAAATCTACCAGCAAGTGCTTTACCTGAACAACCTCATGACTGTTAAATTGTGTTAGAACCGGTAACGATTAAAATCCTAACATGAACTGTGAATTTACAAACAATGCACCGAATTTGCACCACGTGTTAGCATATTTCCGATTAGAAAAACAGCAAGAATTAGTTACGCTTGTTGGGGAAACTGTGGTGTCGCCATCGATATGATTAATTTTAGTTAAACAAAGGCTTTCCCCTTTTTACTTCCCGAGCGTAAGCAAAGGAAGTATTGTAATCGAGTCCGTCGGCCGACTCTGTACTTTTACGTTTTCTCGATCTTTCATGACCCCTAGAAGACGAAGAAATAGGTCTCCCATTTCCGTCTGTCTGTCCGTCTGTCTGTCCGTCTGTCTGTCCGTCTGTCCGTCTGTCCGTCTGTCCGTCCGTCTGTCTGCCGTCCCGGATTTTTATTAGACAGATAAACTCCGAAAGTACAGGACCGATTATTGTGAAATTTTGTAATTATATTAGGCATATCATGTAGATGGTAAAACGCTAACCAAAATTTGTCTAATCATCCCCACCACTAATGTGCTGACGTCACTTCAAAATTGTACATAGTAAAGGGGTTTTAAATTGTATAAAATAATATAGTTCTAAACATATAGTTTACGACTCCGAATTGAGTTTTTACCCCAAACGTCCAGATTTTTGGAAAAAAAAATCAAAATTATAAAACAACATTTTGCAATTTAATTTTGAATCTGCTAATCCGAATGTTTTGAAATGTTTCAGATGTTTTAAGGCTATAAAGAGCATCATAAATCTTTACTCAAAATATATTTGGTTATCCCCTCCAAAAACTTGTTGACGTCAGCTCAAAAGTTTGCCAAATAAATCCTATGTAAAATGTATAAAATATGATGAGTCTGTGGTTGTGATATATCACTCCATTCATATTTTTTGGATTTGCATATACAGGCTGACTCAAAAAAATTAATGAATGCGTAAATTTATTTTATTGATTTACTCAGGAACTACAAAACCGAATGCTTTGAAATCTTGAAGGTGTTTTAAGGTTATAAAGAGCATAATAAATTTTTAGTCAAAATATATTTGGTTATCTTGAGTCTGTACTTGTAATTTATCATTCCATTCATATTTTTTGAATTTGCATACACCGGGTGACTCAAAAAAAATAATGAAATCTACTACGAAAAAAAACATAACAGACATGCAGTCGTCACGTTTTCGACAGCGGGGGAAGTACTGTCTAAACTCTTTAGACCAATTTTTTTAACTACCAAACCAACTGAACTTAATCTAGCTACCTTAACGCGTGGTTTCACTCACACCAAAAAAAACAACAGTGACGCATCTTAGTCCTCTACCAAGCAAGTCAACTTCACTACCAAACCTCTCACCAGATTACTACCAACAACTTCCCTAGAAGAGCTACCAACTACCAGAAAAAGAAGTAAACTTGCACATGATTACCTATGTTTTTCATTAAATTTCTTTTCAAAGGCGATTTCGTACTGTTGTTTTGTTCGAGCGCGAAATTTTAATTCAAATTTGGACACCACCATAATATATTTATTAAGACAATTAAAAGAACGGGTTCCACAAGAAACTATGCTGTTTGCTATGCTACTTTGCATTATTTCAGTTCATCCTATGCGATGGTATTATAGCTTGGGGTGAGTAAGGAAGTGAGGAAGATTAAACAGCTGAGCACATTCTTTGTGAGTGTCCGGCACTAGCTTCCGACAAGAAATCTATGCTACGGAAATGATCTGTCTAATAATATCGTCAATAGACAGACGTCAACAAACGGACAAAAACCAGAGACGCTCATTTTCGTAGCCTACAAACTGTAACGCCTGGACAAAACAGTTTTGCTGCACTGGTAAAAAAACTACAAAATATAATATCTCATAACAGTGGGGTACTAAAAGTGGAACACGGACACTGTACTTGTTTCAGTGTGTAAAAATAGATAATGTGTAAAGTAGTAATGTGTTAACTAGCTATGAATGGCTGTCAGAACATTAACTATGTTGAGACGGTTACTGACCAGCATTGTTTATCAAGTAAATAAGTAGTTTACGACTTTGTGTATTTAAAACAAACTGTGGACGGTAAACATCTCCATTCATTAACCAAAATTCCCCACTTTTTAATTAATTGTCGTGCTTTTTCACAAAATCGGCCTATTTTTAAAAACACTTTTTATTTTTGTTTAACTGTCTGCCAACCCACAGTATTTATGAATTAATGTTTTGTTGGCAAAACCCGACAAATGCAAGCAGCAGTTGCCAGGAGGTGTAGGAGGAACAATTACTGTCTACAATAAAAGATAAGAGATTTATTATTTACATATTTTGAAACTTAAAAATAATTTAACTTAATCATCTCCACCTGTCATCACTTCCATGAATTCTGCAAAATCGTAAAATTAGTCTTTTCTTAAAAGATCAAGAAACTTACCATCATAGTCAACGGTCCCGGAACCGTCAGTATCGATTTCAGTTATGATTCCATCGAGCTCTTCGTTGCTGAGGTTGCTGTCTAACTCTCGGAGGATTTCTTTGAGGGTGGCAGTAGTGATGTAACCGTTACCTAACAGAGACGGCAAAATGTAACAAGTTAATTTGGAGAGTTGTAGGAACTCACCTTCTTTGTCATAAAGACGGAATGCTTCTTTTAATTCTGATTGCATAGCTTCAGCATCTTCTTCTGCCATGAATTTGGAAGCGAGGGTAATGAATTCCTCGAATTCCAGTTCACCGGAACCTGGAATCATTTCGTTGTAGATTGAACCAAAGAGGATTTTTTAGTTACCATCGGCATCTACTTCTGCGATAATTTCAGCCAACATCTTTTCCGTCGTGTGAATGCCCAACATGCCCAAGATGGTACCAACCATGACGGTGCCGATGCTTCCCTTCTTTTCGACATCGAAGGTGTCGAAGGCTTTTTTCAGAACTAAGCAAAGAAAAAAAAGAGTGTAGTTACATTAAATTTTGGATCCAGTTTGTAGTTAGGATTATCAGTAAAAATATAGGAGTGAAGCACTTACGGTTGATTTGGTCCTTTGGAAGTTCATCCTGCAGACAAAAAAAATCACCTATTGACACGAAAGCCACACTCTAAACACTTACCATGGTGAATGGAGTGATACTTTGATGCAAAACGCAAGAAATGCGAAATACGCGAAAAGCTCACTTTTATAAAAGTTTGTACACTGCAGAAAGTGGGGTCAACTTTATATTTTTTCGGAAGCAGCTGTTCCAGTTTTAATTAATCGTAAAACATAAAACAGGCTCGGACTGGCATAAAATTAGAAGTGTGAGGCGTGCTTTTTTAAGAACTGATGGTTATGATGTGATACAAAGCAGACATTGAAGCACCGAAGTGCCTGATTCAGACGGATGTAGTTGTATTTATTGTTATAGGTCGTAAATACGTAAATTTGTATGTAACTCGTTCGGAATGTCTCCGGTTTCTGTTCTGAGTTTGTGTTTTTTTAGAATAATTTCACTTTTTTCTTTGATATTTCGATGTGTATGGTTGTTGTGAGTGACACCTCACCCTTACGTTTTTTAACATGTAGGGGTTATCATTAAAAAATAGAATGGGCAAAATCAATTTTATAAATTTTGGAAAGTTTGTGATACAAAATTTTTAAAAGTAAGTGTTTTAAATTTGGAGACAATTGCGGTTATTTTAAAGTAATTTTTGTAGGTCAGATGAGAAGAAATATCCTGTTTAAATGCGTGTTAATATCACGTAATTGTTACAGATGTGAATTTCAACTTAGGTTGTGTGATTTCATAGGATATTTCGCAAAATATATTTCCTTCTTATTATGTCATGCCAGGTGGTTTTGTGTGTCCTATAAATATTTTCGTCTAAAGATAAATTAGTAAATAAAATAGTTTCAACACATCATTTTGTTACTCAAAAGTGATATGCTTCCGGCGGTAGTTTAAATTTAGCATCAAAGACCATAATGTCTGTCGGATATATGGTTTTAGGCTAGTTAAGTGTGGCAATCGAACGTCTGGATTCAAGTTTAAATGAACAAGTTAGCCTAATCTTTAGAATTAGTAAATTAAAAGTTTTTCTCAGATCTTAAGAAAAGTTCAGTTCTTGGCTCCACTAGTGGTTTAAGAACCTCATTTACATAATTTGTATTCCCCGAGGAAGCTAAGGACGTATTGTAGTAGAGTCCATCCGACGACTAAACTACAGCACGAAAAATAAGTCTTCCGTTTTTTATGAAACGCCGTTGGATACTTGGGTTGAAATTTTTACAAAAAAGTTGGTTTCAGCTTATTTAGAAATAACTTGTCTGTAGTTCTGTTATCGAGGACTCGATTTTTTATTGATACAAAACCATTATTCTAAGAAACCATAAACTCAGAACAGGAAGTGTAGACGGCCGACGGTCACAATTTACAACTGTTTCTGCTTTTTTCATCACTTTTTTTGAATGCAAAAAATATGTCTCAGCATTTTCTAATTAAAGAAAAAACGAGATTTTCTTAATAGAGAAAAATAACTCTAATGATTTAAAGTACAGATATGTATCTACAGGTAAGCCAGTGACAGTCTAAAAAAATTGCTCGAAGATAATTTCGACAGAACTTCCCTGTCCTTTGAAATAAATCCAATGTTTTCGAAAAATTATAAAATTTGATTATGCGAATTTTATTTTTTTTATGAGAACGAAAAGATATGTGTGTAAGGTTAAAGGAAATGTAAAGAACCGTTCCAAATGAGTTTATCCTTAAATAATTTACTCATTTATTAATTTTTATGAGTCACCCTTCATAAGAAATTTAAATTTTTTTAATGCAATGATAAATCATCATATTTTGCACATTTTTGATAGGACTTATTTGGCAAAATTTTGAGATGACGTCATTAATTTTTTGGGAGGAGATAAACGAATAAATTTGGCTTAACAGTTTATCATGATTACGATAATCTTAAAATATTTACAAGATTTCAGAGCAATCGGCTGTGTAGTTTCAAAATTATATGGCAAAGTATTGTTATTCAGTTTTTAATTTTTTTCAAAAAATCTTGCATGTATACGGTGAAAATTCGACACCGATTCATACACCACAAGTGCAGGAGAATCGTATTTTATAAAATTAAAACAATTTTTTATTATAAATTTTGGAGATAACGTCATCTCATTGGTGGTGGGGATGATTAACCAAATTTTAGCTAGTGTTTAACTATCTACATGATATACCTAATATATATACAAAATGTGACAACAATCGGTCCAGTAGTTTCGGAGATTACTTGTCTAATAAAAATGGATACAGACACGAGACAGACAGACAGACAGACAGACAGACAGACGGAAACGGGGGACCTACTTTTTCAGACTAGAGAGATCATGAAACGTCGAGAAATAGGACGCCCGAAGGACCCTATTACAATACTTCCTTAGCTCCTTCTTAAAAAAAAATCCGATTAATAAAGATTTAGTGACAGAGAATTTGGTATGTGGGTCTCGTTTGATAAATAATACATTCAAAATCGTTGAAAGCGTAAATTATGTAATTGTAAAATTAAACGTTTACGTACTTTCATTGCATACCGTCGATGAAAGTCCAGAGAAAAACCGATTAACTGTTTTGTACAAAAATAGGTACAATTTGATCCGTTTCGTTGAATTTTATTCATACCAGTGAATAACTTCCAGTAATTTTTACTTTAAATCGTTAAGAACTAAAAATGTGGTTGGTAACACTGCTGTGTGCTTTTAATTAATGAAATATTAAATTGCTTCTTGTATTCTGTACAAATAAGTCTAAAAATACATACGTGATATGTATGGAAGTAAGATAAGACTGGTTTTGGAAAATGATTTATCCTCTGGGAAAAGAGGGGGCGGGTGGGCGGGCCTAGTATTTGTTATGAGAAAACTGATTTTGCCCTTAATCTTGTAAAAACTTGTAAAATTTATAGGTGTTAAATTGCAAATTTCTTAAAATAACATACAAGGGATTTTCTTTCAAATTCTTTCAAAAAATAAAACACCACTAGTCCCATAGATTTTTTGATCTTTTTCAAAAACAAAACCTCGACACTAGGAACTTTGAGATTCTTTCAAATACTTTCCTGAAGGACCAGAAATCCAGAAGGTCCTTTTAATTTTTTTCAAAAATCATACACCAGACGCCCAAACCTTCTATTAAGATCTTAAAAAAAAGAACACTAGGACACTTCCGGATTCTTTCAAATTCTTTAGAAAAACACTGGAGATCATCTAGGTTTTTTTTTCAAAGCAGAACACCCGGGACCCTTCATTTTTAAATTTCTTAAAATAAGATACAAGGGACACTTTTTCAAATTCCTTGTGGTCCCATTAATTTTTTATCTTGTTCAAAAATCAAACATCAACACTAGGAACTTTGGAATTAATAAATAAAATAAACTGACACATTCATTAATTTTTTTGAGCCACCTGTATAAACAAATCTAAAAAATATGAATGCAATGATAAATCACAAGTAAAAACCCATCATATTTTGGACTTTTCGGGTAGATGTAGGTATTTAACTCGTTGCTATGGAGATTTGCAATTTAACAAGTATTTACAAGATAAATAGGGGCAAAATCAGTTTTATCTTAACAAATACTAGAACCATCCACCCGTCCCCTATTTTCCCAGGGGATATGTCATTTGACGAAACAAGTCTTATAAGTACTAGTCCCGCCCACCCACCCTATACTTTCTTAGATGGTATGTTATTTGCCAAAATCAGTGTTATCTTACCAAGTACTAGCCCCGCCCATCCACCCTCTATTTTCTCAGAAGGTTTGGCGTCTGCCAAAATCAGTCTTATCTTAGCAAGTATTAGCCCCGCCCACCCGCCCTCTATTTTCTCAGAATATATGACGTCCGCCAAAATCAGTCTTATCTTAACAAGTACTAGCCCCGCCCGCCCACCCTTTATTTTCTCAGAGGATATGGCGTCTGCCAAAATCACTCTTATTTTAGCAAGTACTAGCCCCGTCCACCCGCCCTCTATTTTCTCAGAAGGTATGGCGTCTCCCAAAATCAGTCTTATATTGCAAGTACTAGTCCCGCCCACCCGATCTTTATTTTCTTAAAGGGTATTACTTGCTAGTATTTGCCAAAATAAGTCTTATTTTGGCAAATGACATCCTCTGAGAAAATAGGGGACGGGTGGGCGGGGCTACTACCTGTTAAGATAAAACTAATTTTGGAAAATGAAAGCTTCTAAGAGACGAGAGGGTATGTCATTTGCCAAAATAGATCTTACCTCAGCAGCTACTAGCCCCGTCCACCCACCCTATCTTTTCTTAATGGGTATGTAATTTGCCAAAATCAGTATTATCTTAGCAAATCCTAACCCCGCCCACCCGCGGTTAATTTTCGTAGAGGCTAGCACATTTAACAAAACCAGTTTCATCTTAGCAAGTATTAGCCCAGCCCACCCGCCCTGTCTTTTCTTAGAAGCTATCTCATTTGCCAAAGTCAGTCTTATCTTATTAGTTGCTATCCCCACCCACCCACCCTCTCTTTTCTTAGAAGGTATGTTATTTGCCAAAATCAGTTTTATCATAGGAAGTACTACTACTACTACTACGATATATTTGGAATAGTCTCAACTAACAAAATGTTAAGGTGACGTCATCAAATTTTAGGAAAGGTTGAACAGATAAATGTTAATTCGCGATTTTTCTTGTATACTATTTCATTAAACCGTATGCAAAATTTCAGACAAATCTGTTATATAGTTTCCAAAATAAACTATAAAAATAAAGGTTATATTGTGACGTTATCAAATTTTAGGTGGGGAGGAAAAGACAAGTTTTAGTGAGTGTTTTACCAACCGCATGGTGATCTTAAAGTGCACCTAGAATTTCAGGGTAATAAGTTCGGTAGTTTTTGATATCAATACTGTGAAGTGTCTAGGAAACATTAATTAGAATATTTTCCAAGTTTACATTTTGAGAATTTAGAGAATTAACAGGAATTCCATCGCCAAATATCTGATTATTATCAAAGCGATTTTTTATTTACTGAGCGTAAGCTAAGGAAGTATTGTAACAGGGTCCACCCGACGAATGGCTAGTTTCATGTTTTTTCGACCTTCCATGAATCGTAAAATATGCAAAAGTAGGTCTTCCGTTTCCGTTTGTCTGTCCATTATGTCGAATTTTATTAGACAGAATCTCCCAAACTAC